GCACTTGGACTCAAGAGTTTCCCACACTCGCCTGCAGAAAACACCACAGCTTGGGGCGCCTGGGTGGCTCAGTCGGTTAAGCGTCTGACTTCGGCTCAGGTCATGATCTCCCAGTTCGTGGATTCGAGTCCCACGTCGGGCTCTGTGCTGACCACTAGCTAAGGGCCTGGATCCTGCTTCGGATTCTGTGTCTCCGTCTCTCTCTGACCCTCCCCTGCTCATGCTGTCTCTCTCTCTCTCAGAAATAAATAAATAAATAAATAAATAAATAAATAAATAAATAAATAACATTTAAAAATAATTAAAAAAAAAAAAAAAAAGAAACCACCACACCTTACGTCAACATGAGGTGCAGGAGGCCTGGAGTTTTAAGAAGGGCCAGCAGCTGTGGATGTCTTTATTTTCTTTTGGAGCCTTCCTTAGGAATGTCTAGCTTCTCTTCACAGCCTCTGTCTCTACAGAAATTGAGCAGGCTTTCCAAAAGTCTTTAGGCAGGACTTCTGGTCCCAACTCCAACATTTAAAGGGTTTGGAAGTTATAACTACCATTTCTACAATAAAAAAAAAAGGTGAACAAACTGAAAATAAATGACTTTTCTGAGACCCATTGGAGAAATGAGGTTGCAGGCAAAGTTGCCAGCCCCAAATCTGGACAGACAGATGAATCCAGAACATTACAGCAGAGTCTTTACCTGGAGCAGAAGCCACTGACGCTGTAAATTTGGTAGAAACACTTAAATAGTACATTTTATAAATTCCTGCAGGCTGAATCTGAACTATCTTGAGAGTTAGAAACTCCTGGGGGCCACGTGTTAGCAGGACACCCACATTTTCATGGGGTTGACTTCCAGGAAACTTGGTGCTCTGGCAAGAGCCCACCTTGTAGCCATATTAACGTGAAATCTCACACTACAAGCTGTTATCCCACATATCATCTGGCTTTCAAAAAAAATTCATAAGGCATGTTAAATAGCAAAGATAAAATATGTCTAAATGGAAAAGCAAGCATCAGAACCACACTCAGATATGACACAGGTTTTGGAATGATCAGATAGGGAATTTAAAATAAATATGATTAATATGTGAATAGATCTAATGGAAAAAGTAGACAATATGGAAGAGCAGATGGGTAGTTTAAGCAGGGAGATGGAGAGGCACCTGGGTGTCTCAGCGGGTTAAACATCTGACGACAACTCAGGTCATGATCTTGTGGTTCATGAGTTCGAGCCCCACGTCGGGCTCTGTACTGACAGCTCAGAGCCTGGAGCCTGCCTCAGATTCTGTGTCTCTCTCTCCCTCTATCTGCCCCTCCTGCACTTGTGCTCTCTCTCTGTCTCTCTCTCTCTCAAAAATAAACATTAAAAAAAAAAAAAAAAACCTTTAAGCAGGGAGATGGAAACTCTTAGGATTAAAAGAAAGTGGTAGGAATTTCAAAAACTGAAACATTGCGACAGAAATGAAGAATCCTTGGTGGGCCCATCAGCCGACTGGACTTCCCCGCCCCCCCCCCCCCTCCGCCCAAGAACCAGTAAGTTTAAAGATAGGTGAAAAGAAACTTCCCAAACTAAAGTACAAAATAAGTCTTCTGTTTGTTGAAGACTTGTAAGTTTCGCCTACCTTCAGCTCCCTGAAGCGTTGCTATTAATCACACTGACTGTTAGGCACTCTGAACACACGACCACTTTTGTGGGATGGCTAGCCCACAATAGCACACACACACACACACACACACCCTCTCAGCAGCACACTGTGGGCAATTATTCCCCCAGTGTTTTGGATGATCGATGCCTCAGTAATAGAGGGCAAGACAGCAAGTGAGGGACAAGGCCAGCAGCGGAGTGAGCGTCGAGAAGGTCTGTCTGACATTATGCTACATTCTGCAGACAGATTCCAGTCGAGAAGTGGCAGGTGAGTGTGAGGCAGGGCCTCCATCCTGAAGAACTGATAAAGGAACAGATTGTCAAGGCAGAGACCAGACACCCAAATACATGCAAGATAGGAGCAAAAACTCAGAGAAAATAAGTCATCCAAAATGAGGCACAAATATTGGGTCAGTCCAGCAATAGCACTGCTAGGAATTTACCCAAGGGATACAGGAGTGCTGATGCATAGGGGCACATGGACCCCAATGTTCATAGCAGCACTCTCCACAATAGCCAAAACATGGAAAGAGCCTAAGTGTCCATCAGTGGACGAATGGATCAAGAAGATGTGGTTTATCTATACCATGGAATACTACATGGCAATGAGAAACAATGAAATCTGGCCATGTGTAGCAACATGGATGGGGTTTGAGGGTGTTATTATGCTGAGCGAAATAAGTCAGGCAGAGAAGGACAAATATCATATGTTTGCGCGTATAGGAGGATTAGGGGGAACTTAACAGAGGACCATGGGAGAGAAGAAGGGGGTAAATAGTGGGGGAAACGGGGAGAGGCAAACCATGAGAGACTCTTGAATGCTGACAAAAACTGAGGACTGATGGATGTGGAGGGTGGAGGGGGGGATGGGCACGGAGAGCACTGGGTGTTATATGGAAACCAACTTGACAATAAACTATTTGTTAATAAATAAATAAATAAATAAATAAATAAATAAATAAAAGAAACAAATATTGGGTCAGTCAAGCAACAGTGGTGATTTTCAGTTCAGTCCTCCCACGGTAATATCCAGGAGCGCTGCCCAGAAGCTTTGTTCCTGCCTGACTCAAGGCCTTGCCAGAGTCCAAAGGTCAGAGTGGACCTGAGTCTGTAGGTGGGCACAAGTGCTACCGTCTGTAGGAGAAGGATTCAGAAGGCAGGCAAGGCCTGTCACCCACTCATGGCCTCCTGCGGCTGATCTCTAAGCACTGACTCTCATTCTGTCCTGCGCTCTGGCTTACTTTCTTGATCACATAGAGACTCCCAAGCTTTGCCCAAACTAATGGATGTGACAGAACGTCCACCTTTAAACTTCCTGGGTTTCCTGTACTTACACACTCCCCACGGTCCCCTCCCAGTGGAAGTACCTGTGATGGTTACTTTTATGTGACCACCTGGCCAGGCTGTGGGGCCGGTTGTTTGCTCAGACAGTAATCTAGTTGTTGCTAGGGAGACATTTTTTAGATGTGATTAATGTTTACAATCTGTAGATTTTGAATAAAGGAGATAACCTTCCATAATGGGAGTGAGCCTCATCTACTCAGTGGAGGGCTTGAAGAGCAAAGAATCAGGTTTTCAGAAGAAACATTTCTGCCTCAAGACTGCAGTGTAAACACCCTCCCTGAGTTTCCCACCTGCTGACCTGCCTCAGATTTTAGATTTGCCAACCCCCACAACTGCCAATTCCCTGATCTCCCTCTTTGAGACAAATGATAGATAGATGATAGATAAATAGATAGATAGATAGATAGATAGATAGATAGAGAGATAGATAGATAGATGATAGATAGATATGATAGATACAGATATAATCTTCTTGGTTCTGCTTATCTATATATACATTTATATATAAATATATGTATATGTGTATGTATATATCTATTCTTTGTTCTGTAACTCTTAACTGATACAGTGTCTCTATCAGTTTGTTCACGGGAAAGAGTTTATCTTTTTGCAATAAATGCAAACCAACAGTTTTGACCAGAAGAGATTTTTTTTTTTTTTTACAGTGAAAGCCAGTCATGCTATCCATTTCTCTGAGAATGGTATTAACAAAAAAATACATGTTTCATTCAGCTTTGGGGCTTTTCATTAATTCTCTTCTGGTCTTGTGGTCTTCTGGCATGTTGACATTAAAATTAATGCTTATTTTTAAGGAAGTCATTCTAACCCTAGCCAACCACCTTTAACTGCAGCCATATGAGGGCTCGTGCATCTTAAACGGCTTGTACAGGTACCTGTGGAAATGATGAATTGGCTGTGACAAGCAATAAACCAGCACTAGTCACAAACAGCCGAAGTTACATTTGCTCACCCGGCGTGTGGATCCAAACTGATGAAGCTAAAACTTCCATGTTTGATTCTGCTTTTTGTTTTGTTGAGATTTTTTGGAAAATGAAAAATATGGGACACTGCCATCTGAGAGTCTCCCAAACATGCTGGCAAATGATAAAAGTGCCTTCTCTCAAATTACCTCTCCGGAGGGAGCTGAAAGAAAGATCTCCCTCTGCGTGCGCTCTACTATTACAACCCAGGCTCCATGTTAACTGATGTCGGCGGTGGAGGACTTTGATACCATCGTACAAGGCAGTAGTTTATTTTACTTTATAACAGTTTCCTTGACTGGAACATGTGAATGTTTTCGTGGTTGTTTTTGTTAGAGGTGGTGGTTTAAAGTGGACTGCCAAGCTAACTTAGGAACGTCTCCATGGGGTGGCCCCTACCTAGCAGATACCAGACACCACACATTGAAGACACACACAAACCACACAATGACAACAGAACACACATGTCTAAAACAAATTTATAACAATGTGTCTTTTAGCAGATAGACTCATACTTTATTTTGACAAATGTAAGATAGAAAAATATCATAAAGTGAATGTAGCAGTTGCTGTTTTTGTCACAGGGTTTGGGATGTGCAGTGTGACTCTAGGAAGAGCTGGCTTAACCGGATGGTCTCACTTCTTCTTGGGCTTCAGTTAACACCGAATTATTTCTCAGCCTTTGCATTTGCTTGAAAGAATATAGGGCACAGTAAAACTGGCTTTTCAAAAGGTTATAGCATTCAATAATGGATATTATGAAGCAATGACCCCAAACAACCTTTAAAATACTTTTATCATTACTAAAAGCCAACCTCAACCTTCGGGGTCAAAGCTACAAACTCATATATTCAAAACAGCTTTAATATTTTCTGCCAATATATAATAGAATAATAGAGCACTTAATTTTTTTGAGTGAAGAAAAATTAAAGTAAACCTGATATTTCAAATGACTATAAACAGTAAACGTCAACTCAATATATATATGTGTGTATATGTACGTATACATATATACATACGTATATATGCATATGCATAACTTCAATAATATACTTTTGCTCAGCTGGCCATCAACACTCTAGTTCTATGACTGAAGTTGTATCCCAGTATGTCCTCTTAGAGCTTATTAAGTGCTGTCATCCTGTCTACACTCCATCTCTGGAGGGGGTGGGTAGAGGAACTCTTAGTACATGCAGCTATTCGGTTATGGTTATAAAGACAGAAAATTCAGGTGCAGTCTGCACTGAATGCATTTCTGTCTGCAGCCGAGAGGGCTGCCTCACTTTGTTCACCTTCACATTCCTTTGTCTCTGTGATGCGTCAGGTAAACTCAGGCTAAATAATTCACGCAGCTGCTCATTCTGTTGCTGTCAGGCCGTTTCAGCATTTTTCTTTGCTTCCCTTCCCCACTCCTCAAAGAATAAAATTGTGCGGCCCCTCATTAAAATATGTTATCTCGAACATATAAAATAAGTGTATGTACATATATACATACATGCGTTTCCTTTTCAAGGACTGGGTAACTCTTCGTTTTCTATCAAGTAATCCTTCTTCATATACTTGGTTCCCCTAACTAACCTCCACACGTCGAGGTAAGCATCTTTCAGTGACCTCTTGCTCACTTCCTCCGGGCTGTGGGTGATCTGCGAACTCCGAGCCACCAGCGGGACCCCTCCGGGGCTGCCCCTGGCCTCTGGCCCGCTTTTCAGAGTGGAGCCACCTGCCGCCTTGCCACCTCCCGACCCTCCATTTCCATCCTCCGCGGGCAGCTCCTCCATGACGAATGGCAGCTGATCTCCACTTGGCTGTGCCTCCTCTCCCCCGGGCAGCGTCTCTAGGTCCTCGTAGTTGCTTTGCTTTCTGGTCTCCAAGAATTTGGCCACACAGTAAATGATGGAGCCCAGGGTGTTCACCACCACGCCGGCAATGAACAGAGAGGTGGGCTCCACATCGCTGAAGGCCACCATGCCCACCGTGATGGTGGCGATGCTCTTCACCACGCCCACGAAGCTAGTGGTCACCGCCGAGTTGATGTAGGTGCAGTGCAGCGTGGTGAAGTTCATGGCGCAGCCGATCAAGATGCAGGCCACGAAGATGCAGACCATGGTAGGGTCCTTCCAGCCGGGGAAGGTCCAGGCGTGGATGGAATCGGTGCTGGCGAAGGAGCAGACCACCAGCAGTGGGGTGGCGGACACGGCGATGACGTACTGCGCCGTGAGCGGCCCGTGCTCGGTGTCGGCGCTGGCCTTCTGGATGAGCACCAGGTAGGCGGCGTGCACCAGGACCGCCAGCACGCCCGTTACGTAGCCCATGGGGTCGCCCGTCAGGTCGCCGGCCCCTGGAGCGCCCCAGCGAAGCACGGAGCCAGGCGCAGGAAGGAAAAAAAGAAGACACCGGGTTGGCGCGGGTGGGTATTCACTGGGGCCACGCTTAGGGTTGGAGAGTACTTAGGGTTCGAGTCCCAGGTCGACCCACAGGTATCAAACGAAGAAGCCAAGCTCAGCCAGTGAGTTCGAAGCCTGAGCGGAGGAGCCGTACCTACCTATCCCGGGGGCACCCTGTCCAGTTCTGTGCACAAAGGGCCGGGGGCCGCAGATACCCCGGGGGTAGGCACGGAGGTCACCCGGGAGCGTCGTACCCGGCCCCCTCTTTTGGGCCCCGGAAGGAAGAGGGATCCCCAGCTAGTGTCTTCTAACCGGGCTGGGCGCCGAGCGAACGCCTCCCTCTCGACCTCCGAGTGAAGGTTCCCACCGGGCTCAGTCCGTCCAGCTCGGCCCTCACGTGGGTCTTAATCCGCGCCTCCTCCCCCTCCCCCGCCTTGCGCCGCTAGACCTCGCGCGGTGCCAGAGACCCTAAACTAGCTCCGGCGGCTCAAGCTTGATTTCCATCGTCCCCCGCCCCCCACCGCTCCAGCCCCGCGTGACCCAGGGATGTCCACCGCCCCCGCCTCCTGAAAACTCAGTCTGCCCAGGCTCAGGCGGCTCTCCGACCCCTCCTGGAGGAAGGAAGGGGTGCGGGGCGGAGGGAGCGGGGAGGGCGGAGAGAGGAGGAGGTGGGGAGGGAAGGCGGAGAGGGCGACAGCGAGTTAGGTAGGGGCGGGGGTCGGAAACTAGGACTTGGGGGGAGGGGTGCGCTCTGGAGGAGGAGGTCGGAGCGCCGGGAAAAGCTCCGCGGGGTCCCAGAAGTCCCGTCCGCGAGCAGAGCAACTACATCCAAAGTCTCTCTCTGCCTCAGTCTCCCCATCTGGAAGTGCGGGCCTTGCACTAAGAGACCCTCGCAGTGTCCGCGGCGGGGTAGGGTGGGCCGGGGGCGGGCGGAGGTCGGGCTCACCTGCCAGGGCGGCGCCGCAGGTGGTGATGAGCACCGCGGCGAGCACCCCGGGCGAGGGCGCGCCGTTCTTCAGCACCAGGACGCCGATGAGCATGGTGACCAGAGGCAGGCAGCGCTTGAAGACCACGTACATGGGCAGACTGAGGCCGCGCAGGGACCAGAGCGTGAGGCTGGACTGCAGCGTGGAGAGCACGGCGACCCCCGCGAAGGAGCGCGCCAGACTCCAGCCGAAGGGGGGCACGGCGATGAGCCCCAGGCGCCGCAGCAGCTCCAGGCTCAGCGCCGCCGTGGAGCTGGTCAGGCACTGCACCAGGGTCAGGAAGGAGAATTGGTAGCGGCTGATGAGGAACTTGAGCAGGATGTTGAGGGAGCCCGAGAAGACCCCGTGCGCGATGGCCACCGAGATGCCCAGCACGCGGCCCCGGCACAGCTGCTGCATCGCGCCTGCCGCGCCGCACCCCGCGGTGGCGGAACTCCGGCACCTGCGAAAGGAGAGAGAAGAGAGCCGCGAGCGGCGGAGCGAGGGCGGCGGGGGTGACCGCCCAGCGCCGCGGCCAAGGGCAGGGGGCGCCGGCTCCCTGCAGAGGGCAGCTCCAGACAGGCGTCTTCGCCGCTCCACCGCTCCGCGTCCGACTGCCCCGCAGCTCCCGGGAGGCAGTGACGGGGGCGGGGGACTCCGAAAAGTGGCAGGGGTGGGGGGCTGGTCTGAGAGGAGTGGCGGGAACCCTAGCGACAGCGATTTCTAAGTATGTGACGAGCTGCAATGGGTTGTGTCCCGCGCGGTTACACAGGGCGGACGCTCTGCGCCTGGAAGCCCCGCCGCCGCCGCCAGTGGGACCGGACTCGCACCTCTCCGGCACCCCAGCGCCCACCCCGGAGGGCTCCCAGGGCGCCGCCCCCCCCCCCCCCCCCCCCCCCCCCCCCCCCCCCGCCTCCGCAAAAGCCAGCTGCTCCTGCTTGCCTCTTCTTTCCAGCTCCGAGCCCAGGAGCGCCGGCTGGGGGATCCCGGCACATCTAAAGAAGATTTTAGAAACAACGGCGCTCCAGGGTCGAGCACCGTTTTCATTAGCCGCAACAAGTGACCGCACCACCAGCAACCCCCACCCCCACCCCGTGTCCCCCTCCCCCCAACCCGGAGCTCCAGCCGCTTTTCTATCCACGGTGCCTCCCGGCGCAGCCGCGGGACCATGTCCAGCTATCCGCCAGGAAATGGAAAAAAGTCGGTGCCAGCGGGCTGCGGGGCTCCCCGATGCTCGGGCGCCAGCGTCTCCACATTGAAGGAACCCACGGCCCCAGGACGCCGCCCCGGAGTGCTTTAGGGCGCGAATGCTGGCCTCTTCCCCGAGCGGGCAACGCGCTCCCCAGCCAATGCGCCTTCTAGGGAGGGACCTGGGATTATCCGAGTGGCTCTGGGGGGGGGAGGGGGTTTATTTGGGGGGGGCGGGGGTCCGTAGTCTCCCCCGGCTGCGGAGGCAAGGGCACACGTTCCAAGTGGGGCAAGGCTGTGAAATAAGCATAAAAGCAGAAACTAAGTGTCGGGAGGGAGAACCCTCCGCCGTTTCGGTGGGTCTCGGGGGAGACGGTGACCCAGGGGTGGGCGGGGAGCCTCTGGCCGCGCTGGGAGGTGGAGGGGGTGTGTTGGTAGGGGAGGGAGGGCGTAGCGGGGGCTGGAGCCAGGGCCCAGACAGAGCCGCCGAGACTGGAGGTAGCTTTCTCTGGATGCCCGGGAACCGAACGCAGCCTAGCCTGTAGTCATCGACTGCTTTGGAGAGGACAACCCCTACCTCCCTACCTCCCCCCCGCCCCCGGGGCAAGTCTGCTCCCCGGCAGGACTTGAGAATGATTTACTTCTCATCCGGCCCAAAGAAAAGGAGAATTCTTATTTTCTGAGGGTAGAAGGCTTCTGTGACCCTTTGATCTGAATTTCGTTCACTGGAAAGTAACTCCTAGACCCGGAAACTCAGGAGCAGCAAAGGGGTTCGCTCAAGAAACAGTTTTCCAGCTGCTTAAAAATTATGGACCAGGCTAGGGCTTGGGAGCGAGGAAGAGAGCTTGAAAATGCTTCGCACCACCTCTTTCTTTCGTTCATTTTTCTTATCCACCCACTTGCATCGAGATCCCAACCTCCTAACCCTTAACTGCTGCAAGAACCATTTCTTTTTTTTTTTTCTCCTCCATACTTCCACCTCTGCGCTGAAGGAGACACTTCCAGCCCAGATGTTGAAGCCGCGATTATTTTTACCAGAGCAGAAAAATAATTTACATCGGGTATTGGTAGCATTGTCCCAGTCCTTATTCTGGACCAGCTTTGCATGTGCTGGGAGCTCACTTTGGTGGGAGAGACCTAGGTCTCAACCAGCCCTCCAGCTCATACGCCTGGGAGGGCCACTTCCCTGCCCCCCTCAAGTGGACACTCAAGAAAATGTTTGCAAATGGCTCAGTGGGTCAACTTTCCAGGAATACCTCTGGAAAGCAATATGCTGAAACCTATGCTTCTGGTTCCCTGGGAAATCCTTTGTTTTTGTTGCTAATAGCGATGGTTACACACTACTGTCTACTTCATGGATTCTGTTTTTCATGTGATGTTGTTTTCTTGAGGAAATGGGGTTTGAAGCACAGACCCCGTGTGTGTAGTATAAGCATATATACAAAGTGTACAAAGTATACTCAGAGTTTTAAAAACTTTGAAGGTTAACTTTTTAAAGAAATCAGCAAATAACAGATCTCTGCTTCTGGGGACCATTCCAGTTAAAGGATGGTTGCTTTAAGCCATCTTAAGTGAATATAATAAAGAACTGTCTGCATAGACCTAGTTTGGGAATGATTCATTTCTGCCAGCAATTATAATTGCTTCCATTTGTGATACTAACATTAGGTAAAAGATTTGGGGCTGATTCAGCTATCTCACCCTTCTCATTTAGGCAAGAAAATTTAGCTTAATATTTGAAACCTACATTGGCACAGAACAGTTCATTTTCTCCACTTTATTGCGTATAATTCTTTTCCATTAGGGCTTTCATTTTAAAAAAATTAATACCATCAGCCACACCAATTACTAGATAAGCTCCTAAAGAAAAATGGGAAAAACAAGAATACTATGTTTAGCAAGGTTAATTGAACAAGAATGTAGATCTGAAGGTCAAGAAGCTATTTGACCCACTGGTACTGAGGATCTAGACTCAAGCTTTATTATATTTGGAGCTACCTAATAAATACTGATGGAATTAAATAAATCCTTCAGGGGCGCCTGGGTGGTTCAGTCTGTTAAGCAGCTGACTTCTGCTCAGGTAATGATCTTGCGGTTCATGGGTTCCAGCCCTGAGTCAGGCTTGGTTCTGACAGCTCGGAGCCTGGAGCCTGTTTTGGATTCTGTGTCTCCCTCTCTCTCTCTGCCCCTCCCCTGCTCACACCCGGTCTCTTTCTCTCTCTCTCTGTTAAACATAAAATTAAAAAAATAAACATTAAAAAAAATAAATCCTTCATTCATTTGGCACACATATAGAGCAAGTATTTGGGGCCAGGCACTTGGTTAGCCACAGAGGATTCAAAGATGAGGGGCACCTGGGTGGCTTAGTCCGTTAAGTAACACTTCGGCTCAGGTCATGATCTCAGGGTTCATGGGTTCAAGCCCTACGTCGGGCTCTGTGCTGACAGCTCAGGCCTGGAGCCTGTTTTGGATTCTGTGTCTCCCTCTCTCTCTGACCCTCCCCTACTCACGCTCGCTCTCTCTCTCTCTCTCTCTCTCTCTCTCTCAGAAATAAATAAAACATTTTTAAAATTTTTTGAAAAATATTTTAAAAAAGGACTCAAAGATGAGCACTCATCTTAGGAATTCACAGGTGGAGGTGAGGCAACATAATGATGCGTATGCAACAGTGGAGTCTTGTGGTAGAAACAAGAAACCATTAAGGAGGGCAATAATATCAGTTTTAGGAGGGGGTATCAGAGAAGACTTCCTGATATGGTCTTATTTCATTATTTTCAATTGTAAAAGTAATCCATGCTCTGGGTGCCTGGGTTGCTAAGTTGGTTAAGCATCATACTCTTGATTTCCGCTCAGGTCATGATCTCATGATTCGTGGAATGGAGCTCTATGCAGAGCCTGCTTGGGATTCTCTCTCTCCCTCTCTCTCTTCTCCTCCCCTGAGCACATTCTCTCTCTCAAAATAAAAAGAAAATATTTTTTTAAAAAGTAACCCATTCTCACTATAGTATGTAAAAGGAAAACAAACTTTATAGCAATAACTGAACATGCTATCTTTGTACTCCCCATCACCAACCCCACTGCACAGAGCTGGCTACTGGAATAAACCTTAAAATGATTCTTGTACATATATATTTATACATATACAATCCCCTTTTAAAAATAATTGAATTAGGATATCTACATATTTGTTTATAATTTGCTATTTTAAAAAGCATATTATGGGGTGCCTGGGTGGCTCAGTCAGTTAAGCATCTGACTTTAGCTCAGGGCATGATCTTGAGGTTCATGAGTTCAAGCCTTGCATTGGGCCCTGTGATGACAGCTCAGAGCCTGGAACCTGCCTCGGATTCTGTGTCTCCCTCTCTCTCTGCCCCTCCCCTGCCCATGCTCTCTCTCTCTCCTCTCAAAAATAAATATTTAAAAAAATTTTTAAAAAGCATATTGCAATAACAAGCCTCCAAGATCTCTGCTTCCTCATATTCACACCTTTGGTTAACCCTCTTACTTTTTACCAGGGCTGGTCTGTGTGACCAATAGTGCACAGCAGAAGTGATGGTGTCACTCCCTGAGATTAGGTTATAAAAGACTGAAGGCTTCTGTCTTCAATTGTCTTTCTCTTTTATCATTCAGTCTGGAAGAAGCCAGATGCCGTGTTATATGGACACTCAGGCCACCTGTGGAGGGTCCCACCTGGTAAGTATTTGAGGCCTGCTAACAACCATGTTTATCCTTCAGCTCCTGTTGAGCTTCAGATACGTGCAGACTCAGGTGACACCTTAACTGCACTGTCATGAGAAAATCTGAGCTAGGACAACTCAGCTAAGCCACCCTTGGATTCCTGACCTATAGAAATTCTAAGATAAATACATGTTTTTTTAAAGCTGTTATGTTTTGGGGTGATTTGTTACACAGAAATAGATAACTAATACACATGTCAATAGCAATGTATTTTTCTGTGTCAGAACACATAGTTCTACCTTATTCTTTTAAATGATTGTTCTATAGTATAACCTTTCTTCTGTAGACAGGCATCTAGATTTTACCCAACAATGATGTAACGAATATGCTTGGATATTTGTTCTTACATACTCTGTTAGTTATTTGGGGTGGCAGGGTACAGACAGGGAATCTCTCGAACTAGAACAGCTGAGTCTGAGTAATTTAAAATCTTTATTGCCATCCAAAATCTATAAAGAACTTATCAAACTCAACACCCAAAAAACAAATAAGCC